GTTAAACGGTGGCATTTCTTCTGCAATACAATCTTGCTCCGGGTAACAACCGATTGTTATTATAGTTCAACAAGCTGTTCAACACACACATCGCATGCCAATGCAGTAACCGGTGGTAGACTGTCATTATGGATCAGATGTCGTTTTGAGAAAAAAACTAATTTTACACTTCAGGCACATCTTATCCTTCCACAATAATGACCCGTGTAGTATGTCCTGGCATTAATGCCATTGTTCACTTTGTTTCTCTACCCCAGTCTGATATTAAATGCGCCTTGCTATTCTTGATAATGATTATATTAACTTCGACCCATTTGGAGAACGTTTATCTTCATTGCGAATAGTGGAGACGCATTTTTAAAGTTGTCTTGCAGAAGCAGGGATTTTTTTGTTCCTTATTAAAAATACAAATTTTAGAATTCCACCATGGCTCACTTTCCTGTAAATCGGGTTGATCAAACAAATGTAAATGCATTAAACACGTAAACCGTACAAAGCCACCAAAGTCTCATCCAAGGGCATGTATACACAAACAACGTAGGGGTGGTGCATTCACACGGGAAGCTTTTGAAGATTTCACCTCTGACTCACAACAACAATTACCGAATAAAATATTTCATATACAGAGAATCACCATCAAGGCAGTCTATTCAATAACAGCACACTGCGAGTGTATAGCAATTTGCACACGCCGAGTCGCACACGCACCACAGAAACAGCAGTGCCGAATCTCAAACCGCACAGTAAGCTATTTTTATCTCACAAAAAATACACAACTTTGAGAATGTAATTAACGGTATTTTACCGTTGTGTTGCAAACCGTATAAATTACAATTATGACATTCAGTGATAATTTTATAGCTGGTGATATAAGGGTCTGTGTCATTTAACCAAAGTAAGCATTTACAATGCACCGTTTGTTTGGAAGTGCTGACATCTGACATTAGCTGAGCCTCTTCAGTGTTTGCTGATGCGCATTTTTTTCGCGCATCTGGGAGGTGACCGAGTATTAAAACTGTGCATCACATACAGCGCAAAATGTGCAATAAAGAGCACTCAGGCTGAACATAGTGCAGTCTATCAGAAAGCACTATATATTCTCGCCAAATAGCAATTTACTTTGTTGCGTGCATTACCATACCAGCAACAGCCAAATCAGTCAATCTTCTTAATGGCATTAGGTAGCAGGTTGCAAGGACATTATGTAAATACATACAAGATCCTTGAATCAAAACCCTACCACCCTCGACATTATAAAGTTATCTTAACCCGAGAAATGTGAGCACTAACATTTAATTCCTGTGCTTCGGCGCGTGCACATGTTGTATGCACGCATGCGTGGGCTGGCCAATGGCGACCGATGGTGTAGCGGTTAGCCCTGCTTTGCGCTGCGCTACGATCCTGGCCACCCGAGTTCGATTCCCGCTCACGGCCCACACCAGTGACGATTATCTGAACCGGTCCTGGGCCTCCCATAGGTCGACTCAGAGTAAAATGAGTACCTGGTCACGATGTGTAAAACATCTCCACTCGGGAGCCAAAAGGTGGCTGGGCGTGGTGGTGGCCACCCACCCTTGGTGTGCCGTTCCGGCCTTCATATGTGCTAGCTAACAGAACCTGCCTCAGCAGTCTGTTACATGCTATACGGGGGATCTTTGGGCTGGCCAAATTATTTTTTGTGCTGGCCAAGTACATTTTCCCCAAGAGTCTCAGCAAGCCAACACGAGGACACATTGTTTCACGGGTGGCTGTGTGTGGGTTTGTGTGTTTGAACTACCTTCTGCCAAGGAAATATAGAGGAAATTTCATTTCCCGACACTAAAGAGAGAGCTGTGCATGAATGACCTTAGTGGATGCATGGGGAACACCACTGAGTCTGGCTGGATCATAGGAGGCAATTTCAGCACCGCCGTGATGTTCAAGGATGCTGCACTAATATCTATTTTCCACGTTACAACCGAGCCGCGCTGGAGCTGTGCCAAGCCAGCTCAGCACGGCTCACGAGGCAACGGATTGTTTTCCACCGCAGAAGCCGTACCGTGCCACTGACATCTCAGGCTCTGCTCGACCCTAAACCAGATTCAAGTGTCTTGTAAGGCCACGGAGTGTCACGGTTAGGTGACTCAGCTGTGCAAATAGCCGATGGAATGCAACTCGGCCAATGAGGGCACAGTGGCTAAAATGTACCAGTGGAAGAGGGGGCATACGTGAATGAAGAAACGGGCATTATCGAGGCCTACGTAAACATGCTGCTTGCGACGCGTGTTGTTCAGCATAATGTCCATCTCGCACCATGCGCTGGAAGCATCCGACAGGAACTGAACAGTCCCTGAACTGAATGGAAGCTAAAATAGTTCCTGAGGAGGCTTCTGGCACGTGGAGCTAAATGTCAAGATATGGTGCCACAAAAAACACTGGGGGACCTCTACGGCACAACTGTGAAAACATTTACAGGATGCATGGGGAGCACCACTCTTCTCCTTTTACCTTGCAGATGAGCCAGCAACATCTGCTTGTGATTGTTTTGTTTCGTATAAAGAGGTATTATTTTCTGTTAGCATACCTACGTATCTAATGGAGACTCCACATGCATTTGCTGGAGGCCAGTCACTGCACTAAATGTTCATCAAATGATTATTTCAAGGTTTTCCGGGTTGGCTGATAACTTAACACTCAAAGCAGGATAACAGCTAACTACTCGTTAATGGATTGGCCAAACATCCTATCGAAGGGCTCTTCTGAAACGTCTTCAGACTCATTGAGGCTTTGCTTGGTAAATAAATGGCACTGTTTTCATTATTCTTCAAAATATGAATCTAATGGAATTCAAATTACACAGTTTATCACGCTCACTGTGAAGTCTATATACAGTATAGCATTACATTTCACAAACACACCAGCATCCACTACCTACCTCTTCCCCATAAAAGAGAAATCGAACCACCGAACTGACCTAGCCGTAGGACTAGTTCGGTTCGTCTTGCTATGACAGGTCCTAATAATAAGCACCACCCCCCTCCCAGTTCTGCGGTCCTCTATATATTAACATGGCATCGGCCGATTAATGAGTGTTTATACACCTGGGAGGAAAATGGAATGCCCGGAGAAACACGACTCGCGTGAGGGGGCAACGCTATATCCCGTACAGGTAGAACAGGCGGGGGTCCCCGTTTGCTGTGTCGCATTCTCCTGGCGAGCCGGAGGGTACGGCACCTCCTCGACACACACGGGAAGCGAGTTTCACAACATCTGTGTGTGTTCCACCAACCCTCGATGCTGCACCCCACAGTGCTGAATTTGAGGGCGTGCGCCACAATTGAATGCAATAAAGGATGCATAAGATTAGTTGCCAGTGTGATTACGCTGTTTAAGTCTGAACACAAGACTAAATATTTTGAATTGGGGCCATACAATTCAAAACACAATTCAAGTGTCAACATAATATGACACCTAGACAGAATGTGGTCCTCCACGCCAGTGTTGATGGCATGGTTTTTGTGCGGGTAATTGAAGGTGTGTGAAAAAAGTGTAACATGACCTGTTGTCAAAACGGCAGCTGTTTCTGATTACGCCTGGCTATTGCACGCTTTGCCCACCTCATACCACTTACTGAGCTGAATTTACAGCGCCTGTTTTTAATTAGCTATTGTTAAACGAGTCTTTACAAGAACACGCGAAGAGGAACCAGCATGTATGTGTGGTGTGTGAGTGCGTATGTGGGCAGTCTGTGAACATGGGGAATTTGGAGCGCAGTGGTTCATGAACCACGCTATGATCTCGGCTGCGTGGCTTTGATTCCCTGCTATGTACTTCAGTGGCGTGTGGCGTCTCAGCTTCTCCAGGAGCTCTGATTTTTTAATTGCTTCATTGCTTGCAACTGTGTTTTTTTATGTTATTGCTTTTGATGACCCAGGTCGCACTTACTAAATGAGACTATTCTCTGCTTTTTTAAATTCTTCCCGGACTCTAGGAAATACTCGTTCAACTCGGCCTTGACCCATGGGATCCTTGTTTTTAGCCAGTATCAAGATGATGAAAAATTCATGAAGAAAATGTTTGTTTACGTTCTGGCAATGATATTTGATGTTTGAACAACTCAATTACCTCCCTGTATCATTGCCAGAAAGGGGAACGCATTTCCTTCTCTCTTCATCATCAGCATTGTTCGCTGCGAGGACATCGGCGTACCAGAACGCAAAGGTGCAGAACGCTGACAGCACCAACAACCCCCGTCTACCGCGGTAGCCTTAACGTCAACGCCTTTGACATTTTCCAAGTCGCTTAATCCTTCTTTCGCATGGATGCATAGCGGCAGATAAAATATGTAATTTTTCGATGTTTGCAATCCGGCTCAGTTGTCCGGTTCAAACGCGGAGTGGATCTCGTCCGTTCCTCCTCCCGTAAGCGAGTGAAGACGGCAGCTGTGTACGATGCGAGTGAAAGACGGCAGCTGTGTACGATGCGAGTGAAGACGGCAGCTGTGTACGATGCGAGTGAAGACGGCAGCAGTGTACGATGCGAGTGAAAGACGGCAGCTGTGTACGATGTGAGTGAAGACGGCAGCTGTGTACGATGCGAGTCGATCATTTGGTGATTCGTGGCCGCACCAAAATTGCGGATCCGCCGAATCTTGGATCCGCCGTTTGTGGCATCAGGTGCCCCCCCCCCCCCCCCCCCCGGTTGATGGTCGACCATTGCCGGCGTGAAAGATTGACACCGTGAAGGTTTCATGGTAGGGTCCTGGATGGGAGATGATTATTTTTGACGTCGTCAACACTTGCTCCCACCTAGCCCGCCTTCATCTGTGTTTGTGGCGCGGAGCGAGCCCCGCTTATTGACAACGGCGGCAGTAAACCCAGCCGACGTGGCAAGGTGGAGGATCGGTTTCTCTGCAAATTAAAATTTTGCCGTGCGTGGCGGCGGGGGGGGGGGAAGCGGCGTGCCGCGAGGCGATTCGACAAAGTAGAACAACAACAACAAAAAATCGACAAGAAACTTACGGCAGTGGAGTTCATCGGAGCCATCTCGACAGTCGTAATCTCCATCGCACATCCAATTGCGCGGGATGCACTTGCCACTACTACACCGATACTGAGTGTTCCCGCAGGTCCCCTGCTCGCCTTCATCTGCTGAGAGAGAGAGAAGGGAACAAACAAACAAATCATCACAGGCCTCTTCTCGCGTACAACCGGCATTGGTGGGTCAGCAGATTTCTGGCACATCTGTATGCACGTGTTCCCGTGGAAGCAATGGTCAGGGTGCAAGGAGCCGAAGCCAACCCTGGACCTCTGCTCCCAAGATAATTCACGATGGTTTGCGTACAACGAAGTTAATTTTACGCGCGCAGTTATTAAACAACAATGGCAAGATACTTTTTTTTCATTTTGATAACCAATAATTAATCAGACAGATTCGTTGTTTTCTAATCAAGTACTTGCCGTCGCTACGTGGGCATATTGTTGATGTGCAAATGTTGACTTCAGAAGCTTCGTTAATAACAAAAATTTGCGATGGAATGTGTGTCCAATTTTTTTCATGCGTACGTGGATCATTTTCGAATTGTAACGTTAATTGCAGTGAACTTTAACACTAAATGCATTCAATACCATTAGCACGATGCCCGAACACATTGCTTGAACATCGCAGCACTGCTGTGGGAAAATGTAAGAAATGCGGTGTGATCATTCGTCTCATATTGAAGCTAATTCTTATTTGATAGCAGGAGTCTCATGCCCCCCCCCCCCCCATAAATTTGGCAGCGAATGCTTTGCAAGCCGTACCACTTGTCCGAGAAACAAATGGTATAGTTCTATTAAACTAATTTAATTGGTTGTTTGATTTCGTGCTGCGAACTTCATTGAATATACGCGTTGCAATTAATAGTTATTTTGCTCATAAATACATTTACATTTCAAAACAACATATCCCGTTCTTAAACGAAGCTGGCACAAAACGAAAATTTCACCAAAGTGGCTGAATAACTTATTGACGAATGTTTTGAGTGGGTTTTAAAAAATATATATACACACACACACACGGTGTTTCAAAAAAAGTTAACACTGACATGGGACTATCGTTTTTAATGGGGAAAAAAGAACGGACAATTCACTGTAACATGATAACAAATGTAATGTCAATAGCTTAAAAAAGTCAGAGTCTCCACTTGTTCACCATCGTTGTCAACACGTGGCCTGGAATCTTCTCCAGGTGGTCTACAGGGCGCCGGGGGAACATTTCTTGTGGTGTTGTTGCAAATGATCAGAAGTGTAAAAAAAAATTTGAAGCACCCTGTATAATAACCCACAGCTCAGAGCACTGATCCAGAATAGTCTGAGGTGCTGTGTTCAAATTCAGGCAGTTATCCGTGACTAAAACCGCGCCTTCTCAAAGGTCCTTTCGTTGAATGTCTCAGGCCAGTCACCCAATGACTGCACACACACACACGCACACAAATACTCGTCATCTTAAGTTTAATTTTCACTGAATTTGTTTAAATTCAGCTCTGCAAAGCACTGCATGCTGCGGCATTACCAAGTTGACAAGTCTTCGTTTCATGGCATGATGCCGATAACATAATTTAGATATGATTGAGGGGGGGGGAGGGTAAATATGAATGTCATCAATTAAGATAACACGTGAGGCCTCTAGTACTGGAACAAATTGAATGTCAAATAAAAAAAATTCTGTAATATAAGATTTTTTGTTTATACTTTCCAAAATGAAAACCAATTTCAAAACTTGTTCTTTAAAAGTCAAATTATGCCCATCTGCTTCTCCTTTTTCTTCTACTGCAATTGACGAGTGAGTGTTTTTTTCAATTTAAAGTCCATGTAAGGAGGAGTATTCATCTGAATAGGATAAAGAAAAGTATTCTCTCACCTCTCTCGTACATCCGTGCTAGAGGCAACCAATTAATTTAAAGCACATACCTAACAACAAGCTAACAAACACATTCACTAACTCAAGATGGAATCGGCTCATGTGCAGGTGCTGGATGGATCGCGAGAGATGGTGACAGCTTTAGAAGGCCTTCATCTAGCAGTGTATTGATCATGGCTGATGATGATAATAAACTTTCACTGTCGGCATATTCAGTTACACTGCTCGGCTACGGAATTGCATAGGGTATGCAATAATCACGAAGATAAAGCAGTTTACATGTTTCTTATGGAATTCATGTGGTTTATGTAAATATGCTGCTCACTGTGAATCAATACATGGTAAATAAAACATCTAAAATGTACAGGAAGAGTCTGATAGCAGTATGCAGTCTGGTTGAAATAAGTGTGAGTCAGTATGTGTTTGTGCCTGCCGTCATTTATACTTGTGAGTTACGCACGTCTGGGGCACGCGCGCGGCATGCCAAATTTAGATACATTGATGAACTTACAACTCATACATTCAAATTAATAGCCCTCGTACATGCGGAATGAAATGTTATTGTTGGCGAAAAGAGAACATGTTGGCGTATCTATTAATTTAGTCCATGTTCACACGATGCATTACAAATAAAATAAAAAACGTAAAAAAATTCTGTAAGAACGCACTTATCATAATTTTTGTTACTAAATAATAAAAGCATTGCGATTATTTAAATGAATTAAAAAAAAACATGAGCCAATGTATGTACTGTATGTTGAACTTCTTCCGCACCATACGTAGCCAACCGTGCTCATCGGAGGTGCGGGGCAAAGAGACAACAGACTAAACACAGAAATATGTTCTAAAAGATATGAATGCATTTCTTAGCAACGATCAGTGATTGGTCGGTTACAAACACCAACAACATCCGATGTCCTTGGGGGACAACCAGCTGAAGGGTCACATCGCCAAGACGAGAGTTGCTCAGTACCTTTTAAACACGAGGCTACCCCAAAAAAAACCAGAATATATAGGGCATTTTGTGCCGCGAGTGTCCCATAGTGATTTGCAGTTACGCTAATGTCAATTTGATGTTCTCTACCCCCGGAGCGATGCATGTGGCTCTGGTTTTCATGCCCCGCAGCTACGCAGACTTCGCCCCCTGCTTATCGAAGCGGCGGGGAGGGGAGGGCTTCGTCTCGTGCAGCGGCCAAGTTTTGCGCTGCGTTATTTCTCGTGGAGATTGCAACGGAGAGGCAACCGAAGCAGCGCGTGCGGCTCACAATGAGAAGTCCGTACAATTAACGTTCAATCTCTGCCCACATCATTTCTCTGTGGTTGGACAAACAACAACAGCAGCAGCAGCAGCACTCTTATACCTTGATGGTGTGAAATTAACTGCGAATTTGAAATATAGAATATATACTTTTGAAAAGCTCACGTAAATCTGGTTTATGTTCACAGCGTGATGTTTTATTTGACAAAATTTGGTGAAAACATAACAATAAGAGAGAGAGAGACAACAGGAGTTTCACCGTTATTTTAGGATTTGTATCGCAAGGATGTTTCTGTTATTGCTCTTCTTTCATTTGTTTTCCCACTCACCTAAATTCAACTCAATCAAATTAAGATTGCGCAATTAATTTGTTCCTAAATAAATAGCTCCCATTGACCGACACAGTGAAAATATTTCTCTCAAGGTCTCCGACAATGAAGCCCTCCATTCTTGCTGCATTAATCTGGCTTAAAGTGGCCCTGGGAGATTAACAGATCAGATTAGCTCGGGAAGTCTTGTCCTAAAGCCAAGGATATCATACAGCGCACAACAAAGCTGCACTAAAACGTTAATGAGGCGTTTAAAACCCCTTTAAAATAATTAATGTATGTAAATCGATGGTATGCTAATGTTGTGGGGGGCGGGACATATGAGCGTAAACAAGTGTGTTCAAATGAGAATGCCATATTTTATCCATAGCATTTATAAGTCGTTAAGTACAATTGACCATTCCCGTGGAAGAGTCATCAAAGATCGCAGCTGGAGACACTGTAGATTAAAGTTCCATGTTATGGTTATGCATTTTTTCGTCCGAGAGTAGGCCATTATTGTAAAGAAATAATTTTGAGATACCTCTGACAATTCCTGTAAAATGCACATATTCTTTAGAGGGGAAGGGGGGGGGGGAGCTACATTAATCAATTCACAAATAACTGCACAGCTTACAATGTTTACGAAACCCCTCATTAAAAGAAAGCAAGATCCTAACACGGCTAATGACATTACACGCCCCAGTAAACGATTAAGCGCTGCCGTGACAAATGGAACAAATTCTCCAACTGTGATTGTCCAAACGCAACACAATTGGCAATAAGGAGGAGGAGGAGGAGGGGCTGCTGGTGCCAACGTTCAAAGCGCCGCCGAATTCACAAATCGCCGTTCACACTGCGAATAAACGCGTGGATTACGTCGAATTGCAAGCCCTTGTGGTAAAACAAGCCGCGCATGCTTGTCAGCGAAGGATAATACCCCGTTCGAAGTTATCTAAGTCAAGGCCGTAATTATAATATTTATTGGGGGGGGGGGGGGACACAATATTAAAACATGCTCAAAATGTCCCCCCCCCCAATATATTGCTATAAAATAGATTTCTGTTTATATGATTGTGGTTATGGTTGTACTTTATTAATCCCTAATCTCTGCCATTACATACAATGAAACAAGAAAAGGTAAAAAAGAAAAAAACAGAGCAATATAATACAATACACTATTAGACATTATTGTAAAAAAGAAATAAAAAAGTCCATCCTTTGTGTTTGTATTTTTTATATTTTAGGCAGGAAATTCGTTTTCAAATTTAGATATTTTTCTGGGGGGGGGGGGGGACCCCCAGACACCTTGGAAGATTTGGTCCCCCCAATGTTGACTCCATGGCTACGGCCTTGATATAAGTTATATATATAATGTTTACACACCGCATCAGGTTTCTCATTTGAAGCTGAGTCGACCTAGGGGAGGCCCAGGACCGGTTCAGATATCCGTCACTGGTGTTGGCCGCGAGTGGGAATCTAACTCGGGTGGTTGGGTCTGGAGCGCGGTTCGCTCACTGCCACCAAAATAACGATCCCCGCAGTGGGAGCGGTGTGGCAATACACACGGGGTACACTCAGTGGGCATGTCAATACACACAGGGTACTCACAGTGGGCACGGCAATACACACAGGGTACTCACAGTGGGCATGTCAATACACACGGTGAAAACACAGTGGGCATGTCAATACACACAGGGTACTCACAGTGGGCATGGCAATACACACGGGGTACACTCAGTGGGCATGGCAATACACACAGGGTACACTCAGTGGGCACGTCAATACACACAGGGTACTCACAGTGGGCATGGCAATACACACGGGGTACACTCAGTGGGCATGGCAATACACACAGGGTACTCACAGTGGGCATGGCAATACACACGGGGAACACACAGTGGGTGTGGCAACATACACGTGGTACACACAGTGGGTGTGGCAACATACACGGGGAACACTCAGTGGGCATGCCAATACACACTGGGTACACTCAGTGGGCATGGCAATACACACTGGGTACACACAGTGGGCACGTCAATACACACGGGGTACACTCAGTGGGCATGGCAATACACACTGGGTACACTCAGTGGGCATGGCAATACACACGGGGAACACAGTGGGCATGGCAATACACACGTGGTACACTCAGTGGGCATGGCAATACACACTGGGTACACACAGTGGGCATGCCAATACACACGTGGTACACACAGTGGGCATGGCAATACACACTGGGTACACTCAGTGGGCATGGCAATACACACGTGGTACTCACAGTGGACATGGCAATACACACGTGGTACACACAGTGGGCATGGCAATACACACGGGGAACACAGTGGGCATGGCAATACACACGTGGTACACACAGTGGGCATGCCAACACACACAGGGTACACTCAGTGGGCACGACATCAAATCGGAACACTGTCAAATCCGATGCTGGGGTTGTGGGTTCATGGACAGAGGAGCACAGTCAATGACTAACCGGCCTTGCATGAGACAGCTGCTTCCTCTGCCAAGAATTTGAATCTGTTTTACATTTTGACCGCTTAAACTTCGGGTAATTTTAATCAATTGTCTGCTATGTTTTCCGAAGCGTTGATTTAAAATGGTAAAAGCTTGATTTGAAATGGTAAGTTAAAATGGTAAGTTCATATACTTCTTACATGTTAGCTTACTGCAGACAAAAACACTGTACGCTCTCGTAAATGCATATTTTGTTAAATATTCCAAAATTGAAAGTTGTATATGTGAGTCGTAATCAATGTAAATTAGCGCAATCATTTCCAGAAGCCACTTTTTCTATTTTTTCATATTTTCCTATCCATCAAATTACTGTAATGAATTGTATCCCTGATAAATGATTTTCTCATGTAGGACATTCGATAGGTTGTCACATATACATTTCAGCGGGGATATTAATCTTCAAACTGTCGAAATGAACAAGTGAGTTGTTTTAATAAATGTATTTTTTTTTTGCATCAAGTGTGTGTCATACGTTCTATTGCTCTTATTAAATACTTCCAGCATTTTGATTCGACCAGCGAAAACCTCCCAAGAAAATAACGTCGTCAAATTCGGAAGATATTGAGTGTGCCCATGTATTATGTAGGGCGGCGCAGTTTATTTATTAACGCCTCACACGCAATTATACCTCAAGCGTGCCACGCGTTTCGCGGGGAAATGTGGCTAATAGCTGGCTGAGAGAGATAACTCTGCACTCTGAAAGGACCACAGCCCCCTCTCAGCACTTACCACTCACCTGGAACATTTTCATTCTGTGCGCAGTGTACACTGGAAATGGCTTTTTTTTAGTGGCCCGATTAAAAAAAAATGGCATTGCATTTTAGACGTGTCATTTCAGTAGTCGCGACATTGACATTACCCAAAGCAATGGTTCTCCAAGTCGTTTTTTCTTTCTCATTTGTGCCCTCACCTCATTTTGTATTGATATAGTTACGAGATGTGATTCATTACACACCGCTGCCTCCATGGTCAAACCGTATTTAGTTTATTCTCTCCGCTTGAAAGACGCTACAGATTTATACATTTGACATCAATTATGCAAAACCATTTTTTTTATTCAAATATGCAATCGTAATCCTTATTGAGACCATATCCCTCTTATTTTATCTCTTCACGTTGTTATTTTTTACGCTTTTTTTCTGCCCGAACGGGATTTTTTTTTTAACGCACTGACAATTTAATGCAGCCGTACGAACTGCCCAATGTGGTTTTATTTTTTTGGGTCGCAAGATCCCCCCGTTCCGGAGACGTTACATCTCATCCAGAGTTTCACCAGCTGATGTCATTGGACTTGTGTGGTGGCTCCGGGAGCTCAGCGGTTGAGCGCGGCTCACAAATGGAATGCTCACGAGTTCAAACCCAGGTTGAGTGGTGGGTGGGTGACTCAGCCCTTCGTCCATCTGGGGTTGATGATACAAGTACAGCTTGGCAGGGGAAGTCAATGGTGGTTGTCCTATAGAGAGACCTGCACCACTGACTCACGACTGTGAGCAAGAGATGACCACAAGCTCGTTTGAGTAAGCACTCACTTTCACATTCTTTAAAGTCCAGAAAAAAACACAATTCTCTTTGTAGTGCCACCTCTAAAAATAATAATACTCTCATTTTATACAGCGTCATTCTTGCCAATAGCATCATACAACGCTGTACATTAATGACATATAAGGACCAAATCCCATATACAGCAACTACTACCAAGCAAATGGAAACCCCTTACTACGACCAAGCAAAAATCAAACGTGAATAAATAGCAACAACAACATCAAAAGTTATCACAACAAAAGTGCACTTACACACAAAGACGAAAGCACACGCACAAAGATGAGTGCATCACCACACTGGCACGTGTTTTTGTCTTCTTTTTAATATGGGTAGACACGCGACACGCATCTTCGAGACACGCCGACTTCCCCACCCACAGCGCGGCCTTCTGCTCACCCACTTTTGGAACATTCCCCGCCAGTGCTCATTGGTGCTGCATTCAATTCCCAAGCAAAAAAAAAACGTGGAACTCCAGTGGCGCGTTAACCCAAACTTAGGAAATGTATTCCGCGCGATGCTTCCGTGGCGCGCGACGTTTCCGAACGCGACGACGCTTCTTCAACGCGCGCCTACACGTGCCATCGCGGGTGCCATCTCGTGGGTGTTCACCTGGGGGGAAGTGAACCGCGTTGGTGGAGTCATGCTGATCGAGGCAGCGTACCAGGCAGCACGAGGCGGCCAGCGTAGCGAGGGCCAGCCAGCTCATCTCCGGCTCCCGTGCACTCTGAGACGCGACACGGTCGAAACCAACTCGCTTGGTTGGTCGTGGCCTTCTCCGTCGTTCAATGTTCGTCGCGGAGAAAGGGAGAAGGAGAGAGGGAGAGAGAGAGAATGATGCGCAGACTCCGGCGGGATATGCGTCCCGCGAGCGCTGCGCTCACTGGCGGCTGCGAGGATGTCTCGCTGTTTCCAAGCGAGTCTTCCTCCAGAACCAGCGCGCATCTTGGCACACAGCCACGGGGGCGTGCAGCCACCCTGCCCCCTCGGCGACAATCCTCCTCCACAAGGCAGCCTTGCGGGAAACAATAACCCGACCGTTGCTTGAAGGAGTTCGTGTAAAAAATAAAAATTCGGAAATGAAATATTTCATCTGGATAATCCCTTGAGAACGGAACATCTCATCTGCAAGAGTGTCCAGGGTGCCTTCTTATTCGTACGGCTGATGCTGCTCTAGAGCGACAGCTGTATATGTTACATTAAGCTGGTTGAGCCACGTATTTGCTGTGAAGGTGCCTCCTTTCTATTCTGGATTTGAAGCTTTCGTGACTGCAAGGATCCATACTCTTTGGTTCTATTCGGTAAAGTCACGTAGGTAAAAAATAAAACAACAAAATTCATGACAGTACGGTCCCCTTCACCTGATGAAGGCCACTTGTGTTGTGGCCGAAACGTCATGAATTTTGTTGTTTTATTTTTTACCTACGTGACTTTACTGAATAGAACCAAAGAGTATGCCTCCTTTCTATTTGTGAATCGGCCATGGATTCCTTATACGTCTCACGGTTCTGTTTTGGGTGACTGCAGTGGCACAACAGAGATGTGTTTTTTAAAAATGTATTTTGCATCGTCAAGTATCCGCATCTGCTGCCATAGCTTGCGTGCGGTCGTGACTTTGGGCTGTCGTTCATGAGTTTCGTTGGAAGATCGAAGCCAGGGATCTTCTGCGTTGGGTCTTTAACGAGGAGCTGTTTGTTTGTGACTTCTCGTGAACTCCTTTCGGCTTTCCAAGCATTATCGCCGGGATTGATAGACACATACATTGCAAACACGTGATGACACTTATATGCACATAATGATACATGTACAATTGTGGTTAGTAAAGTCACGACAGTATGATGTTGAGCTTGTTAAGTGACCATGTTATTGCAATAATGCACGAGTATGAATTGTAGTTACCTCCTTTGACAATCATCATCAACCAGCCATGGTCAATCCACTGCTTGATGCAGGCATCGCCACCCCAAATCGTCTTCATCTGCCAACCACGATCATGCGATGTAACGATCCACCTGGCGCCTGCACACGAGATCATTCCATCGCTCCATCTCCTGGATTATCGTCCTCTCGGACCCGTATTATGCTTTGGTTGCCAATCCCTCACGGTTATCTCCTTTAAGGCGATCAAACGAGTTCTCATTTTACAGGCTGTATTGAAAAATATCAAACCAATCACATTTGTAATCTGAGTAGAGACCGACCTTCATATAATGCAATAATATTGGCATTGCATGGACTGTCATTTATATGCAGGTTCATATGCAAGTCACTGGAAATAGACTTTATTAAATCCAGCATAACACAGATGAAAGCCTACACCAACAGAGGCACGTTTCAAACATCATACAAAGGTATAATAATGGGAACACCAATACTATTTACTATGGTATTAAAGAAGAAATACAATTCACAATAACACATAAATGCTATGCAATATGAGTTTATCAAACATGTGTATGGTGAAAGTCGCATATTTCAAGAGTCTTTATCAGCATTCAAGGGGAGCGCATGTCACACTTAACTAATTCAGTTTGAAGTATGCTCCCATTGATGTTTCAATTTAAAAACCAGATTTTTGAAAGTATTCAAAATGCAGACAACAAAGTACCTCCTGTAAGATTGCTTTTTCAATAGCGGATTTCAAAAGCCCCGCTGGCCTTGAAAAGGAGGATGTTAAATACTGGATGCAATATTAATTTACGAGGTCATAAATTAAAGGGTGCATCTCCAAGAGCTTCCTGTTGTGAGAGCTGAGTCCAAACGTCAAGAGGCTCGTCTAGAGATAAGGAATACATTGAGAGCTGCATTTCTGTGTAGGTGCAGTCGTCTGTGCAGACCGTGGATAGGAGTGGCTCGTGGCAGGCGCTTCAGGACGTGTATATGGTAGAGGTGCCAGGGGACATCTGTGGTTGGTCATGGACACTTGCAGTGTCTGTGTTTGAGAGATTCTGGGTTATCCATGATCATGGGTGGCAATGGGTGTGTCCTGGATAATTAGGAACACCAGGGCATGCTGGGGATGTCTGTGATGATGAATTGGGTACCCGTGGGTCCATGTGGGTGTTGGCAGCAGGCACTGATGATGGCCATGCGTGGCAGAGGAACATTCTGAGCCTCTTGATGTACTGCATTGGAGGGGCAGTATAAATCATACGTGTTGATGACCGTGAGTGTGTGTGGCAATATGTAGAGCACCAGTGGTTGCCTATGGGTGACACGAGACTCTCTTGTGCCTTAGCAAAGCCACCACCAGACGATCACTCACAGAATTCCGACATGCTAGTGCTGTGATGAAAATGTCTTTATCTGGCTGTGATTACATTGAAAGTGTGAATTGGATATTAGCCAATTCGTCACGAGAAATGAACAAGACGTATAAGCAGACAATTAATAACTTATAGGATCATGCTTAGAACACCTTTATAAACATTCCAGAATGAGATTTGTCTCGAAATTTTCTCCCGTAGGGGAAATAGCTAATTTCAGAGGCCCGTGATATATATATCTCAAGTACTATATTCCAACCTCCACAACAACCGCCATTCGCCTCGAAGTGTTGGTGACGTCACCACGGCGTTTGTCCACGTTGAGGCCACGTGAAGCATCGAACGTCTGCTGGCAGGAGGTCACGGGGCAGACTCAGGTGCCACATATAATTTGTTTACTTCCAAATAATGACGATGTATTTATATAGTAATGGGTTTTACCCTTTTAACTGGCACAAAAACTGACACCTTTATTCAAGGCATCATGTTTGCAATAACCACAAGACAAGCAGTCAAAATGCAAACAAAAGAGACAACTCTGATAATAATATGCACTGTCCTTGAATTTGATTGGTCCACCCCCGAGACAGCTTTTCTTAGAGCCTAGTCTCCATTGGTGTTGGACCAGAAGACGCCAAAAGGCGTACAACTCAAAAACAGCGCACTATCAGAGTATTGAGGGCTCGGGGTGAGCATTTACATTATGAGACCTCCTTTGCCAGTAACAAGATATAGTAATAGTTTTTGTGCCAGTTAAAAGGGTAAAACCTATTACTATATCCTGTTACTGGCAAAGGAGGTCTCATAATGATGTATGTATAGTTATTGCATTTCGTGCATGAGCAATGAAAGTGATGAAGCCCTGGTTTTAGTAAAGTCAAAGAGATTTCCTGCTCAAATGAGGATTGAGGCAGTCATCAACTTGTGTTTACAATCCTGAGCCAGTGGTTAAAATCCATCATTACTATGACAGGGGTGAGTCTAGCCATAAGGGCAACCACTGTTAAAAACCTCACAAAGTGGTATTTGTTTTTAACGACCCGGAAGAATGATGCGCTGAGTCTACCCCCAACCAGGATTTGAACTCACGACTTTCCGACTGCGAGCCCCTTGCTGTACTGCCCAGCCACCAGTCTGTCTATACAGCCGTAAATATAGTTAATTGTAAACATTATATAGACTGCAATAATACGCAGATTGATTAAACGAAAAATTGCTTTTATAGTCTTGAAAAAATGAGGATTCATATATTGCGAATTAGATCATTTTACAGTTATGGTTACAATCATTCGTGGATATTCCTTGCGCAACCTTTATGAGATATTTCTAGGGTTACAATCAGTGCAGTCAGTGGTGGACGATGCAGTAGGTTTGAATAGTTGTCAAAGCAACTGTAATTGTGTGTGGATATACAAAAAAGAGCTTACAGAGTACTCCAAAAAACATCACATCCAAATTATACGGATGAAACACCTTTATAATTCTTCTGCAATACTGCACTCACATGTTAACAGCAACATAACTAAATCTATGCGTATAGTTCATTATTTACACATCTGAAACGTGATGCAATACTAATAAAAAATATATATCGCATTGTCAGTGGTGTAAATGTAGCATGTCACGACGGTATGCTGTACCGACACTTCTCAGGACAACTAAAATCCGTGAACCGTGCAGATAAACGTTCCTGTTCCTACTCTAGGATGTCTCCGCACGGAAGAAGCGGTGCCGGTGAACAGGCAAACAGGCAACGTAATGCCAACGTTGGTCGAGCGTTGGCACGTTCACTGGGGCATTAGTGAGCACGGCCTTGCATGCGGGGTGTTCACAGGTCTCACAGCGCGGGGAGACTCCTTATATTTCCATTTTGACCACTGTGTACAGTGCAGCGAAATATATTATATTGATCGTACCGAAATCAACAGTTAAACACGGCCTTATCGGGAACCATCACAGCTGTGTGCACGTGTGCTTGGATAACCCCTGACAGGATGGCAGAGGTTGCTGAGTGTATATATTATCAAGGTGTGTGTATTGCGGATGTGCATGTAAGATACATTTGTGTGTTGCATGGCTTAATGCACTCTGCATGGATAGCATATAGAATATGTGCGTGTATTCACTGTGTGTGTGCATATTTGCATATTTAACACTGATTTCATATTTACGGTACCTATGTGTTTATCTACGTGTGTTGTTTACGTACACAGATATACGCTACGAACGTGGCAGCCCGGGTTCGATTCCCGCTCACGGCCAACACCAGTGACGATTATCTGAACCGGTCATGGGCCTCCCCTAGGGCGACTCAGCCTCAAATGAGTACCTGATGCGGTGTGTAAACATCGCCACTGGGGAGACAAAGGCGGCCGGGCAAGGTGTTGGCCACCCACCCCTTCGTGCGCCTTGCCGGCCTTCATAGTTGCTCGCTAACAGCACTTGCCCCAACAGTCTGTTCAGGCTATAAGGGGGAATCTTTGTCTCTGTGCGTATATATTTATGTTGGAAGCGGTACTTCAGTGGTTTGGGGAGTGTGCTACGAACCTGGCGAGCCGAGTTCGAATCTCGCTCACGGCAAAAAAAAAACATCGGTGACGAATATCCGAGGCAGTCCTGGGCCTCCCCTATTGAGGAGCTGGTG